AACAAGCTTAGTAGCTGCTTGGATTTGAAAATGCCCTTAGTGCCCTTTGTTTTTGGAGGGGATCTCCGGGTGAATTGATTGATGTTTATGTTCACTTAGGACCAGCTGACCAACGGTTATGGCTGTGTCTAATGTCCCCCCAAACCCTCATGTGGATGAGGTGGGGCTTTCTTTTTCAGAGGTGGCTGAATCTAGAATGTGTGATGCTGGGATTAAGGATGGCTGATTACTAAACCACTGCACATGAGTGACTGGTTTCCCATCGCCCTAATTCTGGTAGTCTGGATGAGATAAAAAGGGGCAGAAAGACACTGTTAAGGTCTCTTGTTGTTTTTGCTGTCTTCTGCTGCCATGAACTGTTGTCCCTGTGCCGTGCCTCCCTGCCTTGGAGCCAGCTGATTATGGCCTGAAACTTCTATGAACTGTGAGCCAAATCAACCTTTCCCCTTTTAACTTTGGGTGTCAGGTATTTTGTCTCAGCAAAGAGAGGAAAGTAACTAACATACCAACAGACTTCTAGGGGACCTTAAGTAGCATCCTTAGCCCAATAGAAAGCAGCGGAGCAGCAAGTTAACACTGTAATGGCAGTTTAAGAACTAACCCGGTGCACAAGTAATATTTTGAGCATGCCAAATAGACAAAAATATCAACTTGAATTGAAATCCAAAAGTAAACTTATCAATCAGCCAAACTTCTCAAAGGTTGTTAGGAAGGCTTGTTCCCTCCCTTGTCGTCCCCTGGTATCCCTGGTACTTTATATATTATTTAAGAGCTGTCTTTCTCATCCAATATCTAGCTTTGTAGGTTGGCCTCGTGGGACCTCAGACAGAAAGCATGCACAGCCTTTGTCTAAAAACACCAGTTTACCTGACATCCAAGAGAATAGGAGAGCAATTTGGTGGGAATAGAGGACAGAGAAGAGTTTGAGTGACAGAAAGAATGTAACTCAGAAGGGAGACAAAGGATTATGGGCAAAAGAACTCAGAAGCAACCAGCAGAAAACATTTAGGGTGTAGGGAAAGATTATGTAACAAAGACATTGTATCCTTTTGTTGTATAAACATAAAACGTAAACCTAGAAGATGAACGCCAGTTGTCTGGAGCCCAGTGGAGCCTACAAGGCTCTGCCCCATACCTAAGTTAGCCTCTGATGGGAATCTTTAGGTGGTGGATGCCTAATGGCTTCCAACTCTCTGAACGGTGCCTGCAAGAGTGCAACCAGACAGTTAAGCTGAGGCAACAAGATACAGGGTCTTTTTTACCTCTTGGCTCAGCTCACCAAGAAAGGGAGCCATGACAGAGAAAGGCAGCTTGTTCCCTTGAATGCCTGTGGTGAGTTAAAGAAGTGCTGCATCCACGGGCGGTCAGCTGTGGGGGTCAAGAGCACCAAGCACAGAGCTCACTCCCGCACCAGCAGAAGAATCAAATCGGAAAGGGAAACTGAGGGGACGCTGGGCCAACATTCCCTCCACTCGGGGTAGAGAGGGATCAGCTCAGCCCACATCAGTGAAACCTGTTCCCCGAATCTTCTAGATCGGTGAACATGCTGATCACTTTCCAACGGTTGACAGGTCCCAATATTATTTTAGGCAGAAAGCTGCAAAGTGGAAGCAAAGAGGATAGGAAAGCATAGATGTTACAGCCTCCTTATGGAACCCTGGATGAGCCCCCAGATGTGATGCCAGAATGCCAGGGTCACGTCCCATGGTGATGAAGAATGGAACCATGGACAGAGGAGGTGGGTTGCAGGCAAGTTTATTTAAAGATATAAAGGCAAGACACAAGCTCCTGCTAGCCAGGAGGGGCTCCTGAGCAGGATACCCAAGAAGGCCACTCGCCTAGGAATTTTTAAGCTGTTAGAAGGGTGCTCGGGCCATCATGTAAGCAATATAATCTCTGCCCTACAGGACACTTTATATATTTTTAGGGTCCAATCCCTGCCTATGGCAGGGCCCATGTGCCCTTGAGCCACGATCATGCTCTGGGAGGCCCCTGCCAGCCAAGGACACCTGGCAGATGTTTTTTGCAAGGTCCCTGGAGGGTCAGGACTCAGCAGACTCTGGGTTGGGCTTCCAGACTCCATCTGGGGGCTGCTGTCCTTACTGCCTAACAGAAGCCTAACTCTTGTCTTACTTATTCTTGTTACAATGCTACTATTAAAACATTAAAAGATTTCCTTCCTGCCTTTAAGTTTCTCTGTGAAAGGCTTTTGTTTTGTTATATTTTACTTCACTTTTTAAGTGTGTGATACTGGAGATCAGACCCAGGGCCTTGGGCATGCTAAGCACATGCTCTGCCACTGAGCTACTCCCACAGTCCAGTGTGGAAAAATAGTGTGAACATGCGTCCTCAGTGAGAGTCTAGACCCACTTCACATCAGAGATCCCAAAAGAGACGTAACAAGTATACATCACCTGTCCATTAAGGGGTCCAGGGAAGCCACTGAGGGGCTGAAGTGGGGAGCTGAGTCCCAGGCAGCCCTGGCAAATCGTCCTCTATACCTGTGTGATCTCTTTGGTGGGGACACAGTCAATATTTGACTATAGATATTTTTCACGTTGCAGTTCTGTAGATTTTGACTCAGATGTGTTTGCTCCCTGTCATCGTCATAACAAGTCACCACAGACTTGGCGGCTTCCAGAAGCACAGCTTTATTATCTTAGTGGTTCCTGGGTCAGAAGTTCAGCAGAGTCCCGCGTGCTGAAACAGAGATGTCTGCTCTCCCTCTTGCAGTCTCCAGGAGTGAATCTGCTTCCTTGAATTTTCCAACTTTAAAGAGGCCCTTGCATTCCTTGGCCGAGAGCCTATTCCTCTACCTCAGAGCCAGCGCTGGAAGGTGTAATTCTCACATCGCATTGCTCTGACCTCTCCTGGTGCTTCTCTGCCGCTTGTCAGGACCCTTAGGATTGACGGCCCCTCCCGGTTAGCCAAGATGACACTAGCCTTAACGTTCCCGATTCTGAGGGTTCCGGTGTCCCCTTCTTTAGAAGGCCTTTAGTCTCCCCACCACACAGAGTAAGAGCATTCTTAGAATTCTATTCCAGATAGATACTTTCCTTCTCCTCTTTCTCTCTTCATTTTTATCTGTTCTTAACCTACTGCTTACTGAGATATTGGCAGATCAGATGGCCTTTGTTTTCTGTCCCTGTCATATATCAAACTGTACAATTAGAGGCCAAAAATAACTTTTTTCATCCTTTGATTTCCCTTCCTCGTGGCATGCTCTGGGGAA